CCTCGTTAGGTTTCTAGTCTGGAATTCTTGGGAACTTGCTAGACCTGTCTTCTTTCTAGTAGTAAATATTTATTCTAATTTTCTTCTCAAAGAACATGATGGTTGACCTAAAATTTCAATCTAGGAGTTGTTTGACAGAGTTTTAAATAACAATTTAAACAGATTTTTTTAAAATTGATGAAATATGAGTTGAAAAGTTGATAAACGTTATGAATTCCTTGATACGGTGTTTAAAAATTAAATTTTGACTATGTTGATAAAATTTTATCAAACAAGCTGCTAATAATATGTGCTGACTCAAATTCATGCTCACGTCCAAGGGATGACAACAGTTGGAGCCATGGAAAAGAGTGCTGAAATCCCTCAAATTTGCACAAAATCACAAGAATCAAGCGATAACACTACCGAGGGCGGGGATGAGTGGTTGATTTCTATAGAGAACTATGTTGAAGACGCAACAGAGAAACCTCAAATAGAAAAGGTTCCATCACTGATGCGAATGATTGAATCAAAAAAAGGTTGTTATGATCCTCTGGTAGTTTCGATAGGCCCTTATCATCATGGAAAGCCAGAGCTCAAAGCATTCGAGAAGCTAAAAATTCCAATAGCGCTGAAATTTTGGCATGCCTGTGAAAAGAAAGTACCCATCAAACAGATATATGAAGCGGTGGCAAGGGAGGGTAAAAGTGCCCTCGAATGCTATGCCTATGAGAAAGGCTCGACTGGTTTTGATGACTATAAATTGTTCAACAGAATGATGTTTCTTGATGCTTGCTTTGTGCTTCATTTTTTGTCCACTTTCTTAGAAGATAAGGAGCAAAACGAAGTAGATCAACGACTGGTTACTGACTTAAACGGTGAGGAACAAAACGAAGTTACTGAACGAGTGGTTAAGAGTTTGTACTCCGTGTTGAGGGACTTGCTCTTGCTAGAGAATCAAATTCCTTTTCTAGTACTAAAAGTTCTGTTGGAATTCAGGTTTGAAAGAGAAACAGACCAGACATCATGTATTCAGAAGTTCCTCGATCGGTACATCTTAATGCCAGCTCAGGAAAATTCATGCACTAATGATGTCAAGAAATTTCTTGCACAAATGAAGGAATGCTGCACTAAAAGTGGTCAAGAAATGACTAAATGGAAATTAGATTTGGATTCAAGCCCTCCTCACCTTCTACATCTAGTGCGGGAACAACTCATCAGTCCATTTATGCATGAAAGTCAAAACAAGAACACATTTGTCAAACGGCAATCGTATCGTTCACTAACTGAGCTCAAATCAAGAGGAATTCATTTCAAACCAAGCCAAACTGGAAATCTTACTGATGTAGAATTCAAATCTCGCCTTATTTATGGTACTCTTACACTTCCTTCAATCGTTATTGATGATAGAACAAAATCTTTGTTTTTAAACTTGGTGGCTTATGAAAAGTGTCCCCATGGCCCTTCCGATTTGCGCATTACGTCATACATTTGTCTAATGGATTCACTCATTGATCATCCTGATGATGTTAAAGAGCTCAGGAAGAAAACAATTCTTGTCAACTATTTAGGCAGTGATGAACAATTGGCAAAACTCTTCGTGGAGATATCTCAGGATTTGATACCTCATCCTCATGCATATGCACACGTTATGTATCAGATTCAAAATCATTGCCAGAAAAAATTACCNNAAAATCATTGCCAGAAAAAATTACCAGCCTGGGTACAATCGTGGATGGTTGAAGAATGGATGCATAAATATTTTAGCAGTCCTTGGGCTTTCTTGGCCGTTCTAGGTGCAATTATCGCCCTTTTCCTTACAGCGGTACAGACATATTTTACTGTTTTTCCGCGCAAAACCTAAGGAGACAAGTTCAGTTGCAAAAAAATTGTTCTTTTACTGTTTGTTTCCATTGTTTTGGTATTCTTGTGCATTCTTTAATTGTATACCTCTTTGTATGCTGGTGCTTAATTGTATGACGTTCTGTTGTTTTGGCATTCCCTGTTTTTCCAGTCGAACTGACTAACCCAATTCGACTCTTATGATATTGCAAAATACTAATGACGATCACGAAAAAATAAAACTAATCTATCAAAGTTTTATAATAACTTGCACTTGCGCCTTCCATGGCAAGATGCAATTCTTTCTGGATCCAAATTGATACTGAACTCCAATAGCACGAAGTTACTGTTAATTCAATTCCATAAGTTAAGGCACACTATTGAAGTTATTGATAACCACATAACGGTTGGAAATGTTCCACTTGTTAATCCACACATTCCGTAAAATCCACAATTTATAATTACAAAATGATTTACCAAACATAGGCGATATGTGATGCCATAGCTTCTGTGGACATCTCAGTTCCTAGGCACCTAAAAATTGTACATGTTATACTTATATATGTTGTTCCATGACGAACAACTTGATCTTTTTTCAAAGCCTTATCCAAATATTTTATATCTATCATACAGAGAGTAGAGTTCTTGATTAATATATCTTCCAAAGAAATTTTACTACTTTTACAAATGGATGGATACAGTACTTGGATATGTAATTTGTGATAATCATACAAGCTATGGCTTGTGCTCGTGATCGTGATCTTGCACTGCATGCAAAGATTGTGATACTAATTATCTTGTGATGGTGTCTTGTACTCGAATCCTTCTTGTATTTATACGTGATGTAGTTGATCAAGGATATCTCAGTTTTTAGATACAACCAACCTTCTGCCAAACATGTTTAATACGTATAAATTACTTAAAAGTAATTTTTAAGCTTAGCCAAACATATATGAATCCGATTTGCATATCTGTGATGTTCTAATCTTATAATTTTCTCAAAGTTAATTAATAATTTATTAAACAGACAGGCGATTCTGTAAAGTTAAGGTTGTCATGAAGATGAAGAGTCCTTTGTTCATGAGATTCCCTGAAGCCGGGTAGATGTTAAGTGAGAAATTATAGAGGCTGCTTCTACGGCTTTTACTTTTGCTCATATTTCCTTGTAATTTACTTTTGGACCAATAGTTCTAAAGAAACTTCATTATGCTCCCCATTCTTTTGAAGCATCAAAATAATTTTTTTTTTGTCACTTATCGAGTTTTTTATGTGACAAACTTGGTGGAATTAGTAAATAAGTGACAACGAAGAAAAACTAGACATTGCTATATATTTTAATTGAGTACTCCTCGTGTTTAGCATTTTAATATTCTTAACTTGTGATATGTTCATAAAGTTGTTCAAAAATAGCTGCTTTTGTGATACATACAAAATACTAGGATTTATAAATGAAAATACAACAAATTGTTACATTAAATTTATGAGTTGTTTGGTCTCCTTATAAGTATCACATAAAGAGGCGAACAAATGAAATAGTGAGGTTGTTATAGAAAAACATGGAAATCTCTCCAAACTTCAATTTATACTTCTTTCTTGACGTCACATAATTGGTAAAAAAAATTATTTTTATATGGAAAGACATTATTATATGTGTTTGTATAAATCGGGTCAATTTAATCTCGAATGTCCCTAAGGAGAGTGAGATAACCACGCCTCAATTTAATTTGTTACACCTTTGTTGACCCCAAAAAATGGTCCTGTGACGTGGCCAACAGAAGATCAAAGAACCACTCCTTTAAAGATCGAGTTGCAACACACTGGAATTCGAATATG